CTATGCTGCCACCAGGCCTCAGAAGGAGGTGCAGGCCATTCAGATCAGGCCATGGTGTTGTCTGGGTCCATGCTGCCATTGAGGGCCATGACTGGGTCCGGCATAGTCTTATTGCAGCCAGCATCTGTGTTGATGACAGTGACCATGTTACCACTGACTGCCATGTGGATGTTTGTAATCACTGCTGCACCCAAGAAGCCATGTTGATGTCCATGTGTGATGTTGACACTAGGGGGCAAACTGATCTGAATGGCTTGTGCTGCCACCTAAGGCCATGGTGATGTGGATCCATATTGCCTAACCCTAACCACCCTAACTCCGTAACCCTAATTCTAACCCTAACTCCCTAACCCTAGCCTTTACCCTAATCTAATCCCCTAACCCTAAAACCCTAATCCTAATCCCCAACCCCAACCATAACCCCCAACCCTAAACCTAACCTTGCTCATCTGTTCTCTACTTCAACCCACCTGCATCTCTTACTGTTGTTAGGTAACATCTGAAATTCCATACTGTTTCATTAATGATAAAGTCTATGAATACAAATCATCTCACTGCAAGAACTGATATTAAGGGGAAGAATTAGGAAATAACTCTCTCAGGTGATTTTTATCCAGGGAAAACATTCTGGAGTAAGTTCAGAAGTGAGTGTGAATGAGATGCAGGATCTGAAATTGAGGGATGGGATGTGCTAATGAGAAATGTCAATCTAAGGAACTGATCTGATGGTATGGAAGATGACAAGGGGGCTAAAACACTTTCAGTGGGTGATGAACATTCTTTGTAGATTTAAAAAAACTTTTTCAATCATTTATCTAGAGTAGGTTTTTAGGAAAATTGAATTTTGATTCTTCTTTGCTCCAAAAGAGTAATAAATTGGAAATCTAAAAATAAATTAAGAAGTCCACTTCTTCCCTTCCCTGTCCTATGCGTGTAAAGCGTTGTGCAATGATCACTGTAGTGCTTGCTGTTTTTTCTCTGCACACTTCTGTGTTTCTCACCATTGGTGTCATTGTTATTTTCAGTAGCCTCATTGTATTTTACTTTGTGGATGAGAATCCTTTTACTCCATCTATTTTCATTTTGTAAGATGCACTTTTGTTTGTACAAACACAGCATTAATTTTGTTTTCTTTACGGCACTGAAGGCAAGAACATGGGGCTGAGGTGGGTTACTCATTACTGTCTCCTATGTGACTTAGGCATGATTCGTCCATCTCTACTTTAGGGTAAAAACTAGTTAGACAAAGTCAGTGAACACCTGGCATTCAAGAGGACCACTAGTTCCATGTTGATTCTGGGTGTTGAAATGAGATGGCAGAAGTATGGATTCCAATGTATCCCTTACTGACCACATGACTTTTATTTTTTTCATCTTCAAACTAAGTAATAACAATATATCAAAGTTGAATGGACTGCTAATTGCTGATTTACTTTCATTTCTAAAAACATTTATGAATGCTTAACCCAATGCTGTTACATATCAAAAGTTCCATGTCAATATTTCTTGGTTCGGTGATTTGCTTGCCTAGTGCGGTGTCATCAGAAAACAACTTAGGACAAGATAAGTACATATCTGATAGGTGTGTGTGTGTGTGTGTGTGTGTGTGTGTGTGTGTGTGTGTGTGCATCAATGTATATGCATCTCTGTGTGTGCATTCATGTGTGTGTGTTCAGTGTCTGTTTTTTGTTTTCACTTTTAATTCTTAAATTGTATATTAATACCTTAGCATAGTCTTGTATGTCTTTCATCTGTTCATTATTTATTATAAACTCACTACCAGCACCTATTTTATACCAGTCATTATTGTTGCTTCTGAGGAACTTGGAAGCACAATAGACTGTGCTGGGAAACCTCTTGACTGGGGAGAGGTATGATGTGACTGCAACTTGAGAAGAACTACCTGGGACTGAAGAGATGGCTCAGCAGTTGAGAGCACTGGCTGCTCTTCCAAAAGGAGCAGGGTTTAATCCTCAGCACCCCATACAGCAGCTCACAATTGTTTGTAGCTCCAGTTCCAGGGGACCTGACACCCTCACACAGACAAAGATACGGGCAAAACCCCATTGCACATAAAATAATGATAAATAAATAAAAAAAGAAGAATCACCTTTAGAGATTCTCTTCGGAGATTCTCTTCAAAGGGGGGAAAGAGAAGCAGGGAAAGTGGACAGGAACCCAGTGAAGAGTGACACTGACCCTGGAAGACAATGGGGTAGCAGAAGAGCTAAGAGATGGGATTCAGAATACACCTGCTTACTAAACTCTTTTTTAATAATTGTAATTAGACAAATTTTAAATTAGAAACAAGCTTTTTTTACAAGTCAATCCCAGTTCCCTCTCCCTCCCCTCCTCCCCTGACCCCCACCCCCTATCCCAACCCCTTTCTGCTTCCCAGGGAGGGTGAGGTCTTCCATGGGAGATCTGCAAAGTCTGTTGTATCATTTGGAGCAGGGCCTAAACCCTCTCCCGTGTGTCTAGGCTGAGAACTTGCTAAACTTTTAAACAATGACCCCAGTAAGTGAGGACTGTCAGTCTCCAGTGCAGCCTCACACCCTTGCACTTAATATACTTTGTTTTATAGAGCCTCTTAGAGGGTTAGGGTGGAAGTAGAAGCAACCTTTTTTCCTGTGGCTTTTGTAAGTTGTTTGTTTATGTATGTGTAAAATGAACAAACATTTCCCCTCTCTGTATCTCTTCCCTGCTTCATCCTAGTCTAATACTTTTTCCCTGATGCTGAACTTAGCAGGAACTAGAAGCCCTCAGGAAGAAGCTGCTCCACAATTGATCTTTGGCAGAAGTGATTTAAGACAACAATGAAGCAAGAAAATAGGATCAGCGAAGTTTCCTTTTTAGTCAGCATAGTACCTATTCTCCTTGTTTAGTCAGCATAGTACCATTTTTCAGGACCTGAATGGCCTCTCTGTCTGTCTGTCTTTCTGTGTCTCTCTGCCCTCCTGTCTGCCCCCCCCTTCTCTCCTTTCTCTCACTTCAAGCAGAAAACCAGCAGAGGGCGCTGGTATCCCTGAACATGCAAGATAATCTAATGGAAAGATCCTTACAGAAGGGGAGCCCAGGGTTCCAACAGGGAGGGAGGCTAGACAAGTATAGGCTTCTCGATTTCATGTCTGTGTTTTGTAAGTCACAACTGTTTCTATACTAATGGGTGCAGACTTTCCCATCTCTCCTTTAGAATGTTTGAAAGTTCCTACCCCAAAATATTCTAGTACTGCATTACTTTTGGTAGAGTGAAAATAGTTAATATTATTTTATTCTGCAATTATAAATTATTTTATTTGACTCAAAATGTTTGCATTCATGTGGACAGGATTTAGTTAGAAAACTGAAAGTATGCTTTGCCCATAGAGACGCTGTATTTTTACTTGGTTTATATTTCACACCGTGCGTGTGTTTTCCAAGTTTTAAAAACTATTCCAGAACAGTTACATCTATCAGGAGTGTACAAAATGCCCATAAATGGAAAATACAATTGCTTGTGCCTGTTGTTAAAAGCTTAAGCTGACATAGCTATTTAGTTGGAATTTCAACCAATGTGTAAACAACTCCAGGACATTTGTCTTTGGGATGAAAAGCTCCCAAGCAGGTTAGTGGAACTGTTCAATGGCAGACCCTTAGATGGACCTGCTTTTCTCAGCACCCAAGCCTGTATGACAGAGTTCCCTTGGAGTAAAGTGCTCAGGTATGCCAGAGCTCTCAGGATTTCATTTGTCAATGCCACTAAAACAATTCACGTGTACACATGCTCTTGTCCAAATACTGGGCATTATTATACAGGGCGGATGTCTTTACTTCCAAATAGACAGTTGATAGCCAGGAAATAGAGCATTTCCCCTGTGATGAAGGATAATGGGCTGCCCCTGTCAGCTGCTAGAACATAACCTCAGTGTCACCACTGCAGCACAATAGCTTTAAAGCAAGAAAAGTATGTGTTCAAAGACACACACAACACTCACTCTGACAGCCATTGGGGCAGTTTGTGCTGTGGCCAGCCTGAGATCCGAAGGCTACTTTTCTGTTTTCTTTTTTCGCTATGACCAGCTCTGGAGAGTGCTGGAGACTCTGTCATCCATGATGGCAGGAGGACCAGAGACCCAGTGACATTCAGATTAGAGACCCAGTGACATTCAAATCTTGGTATTTTCCAGTTTTTTTTTTAAACGATTTAATGACCAAAACTGCAACAACATACATATTTTTTCTGGCTTTCTTCCTTCATGGTGAAGCTGTAATAGGACACGGCAATTCGTGGCTTTCTGCCTCTGGATGGCAGTAACCTCTGCTCGAATGTTCATGACCCTTAACTGTAATATCTTAAAGTAAGGATTTCCTGTTCTTTGTCAGTTTTCTGTCCAAAGAAAACACTAATTTTGAATTTTGCTTGGTCTGAAGCACACACACACACACACACACACACACACACACACACACACACCAAGCAAGGAGTCTGTTTAACATTAAAAGTCGATACCCCCAATCTTAGGCTAGAAGGAAAATGAGGACTCTGGGAGCTAACCTAAAAAAAAATTGGCATTTGGGTATTTCCATATGTTTATATGTGATTCATTTTCCTTCTTACATAAATTAACAAATGCTGCCGAGCCAAGCGTATTTTTTCCCTCAAGACAACGAGGCCCTGCAAAGCTCTAGGAATATATCCAGGCTTTGGGAATAAGCATGTCTACCACTGAAATTATGTGCTCTGATTAATATAGTCCATCTGGCTTTTCTGACTGAGGCTTTTCATAGACACAAAGAATTAAAGAGCTTAAGCATTAAATACAGAGCAGCGCACACATGGTAAATGTGGCTCACTAAACCTCCCCCTCCCCCCTGCCCCGTGCTGTGGCTACTGCACTACCATGAGCCGACATCTGGAGTGGGCCGTGGGCTGTAATTTATTGTCCTGTAATATTTTCCGGGTCCTCCTCTTGCGTGTTCTTTTAAACCTGCTGTTTCTTTTCTTTGATTCTCTCTTTTAGCCACAGACGCTCCTGTGCTGTTTAGCTCCTATGGGGAGGTGAGCTAGGCTTGAAAGCTGTTCCAACCTTCATTCCCAGCTCTTCGGCTCTGCACGGAGGTCCCACGGAAAGGTCTCTGGGAATCCCTTCCTCCGTATCTTGTGGAGCCTGCAGTGGGACCCTGAATGAACAGCATTGTTCTTGGGGAAGGAGGATGGACTATTTGTGAGGAAAAAAAATCACATTTGGGCATTCTTTCTTTCTTTTTTTTTCTTTAAATGTCCTTCTGAGAATTTATTAAAAAGTGACGATTAAGACCCAAACCTGGCTAGGTGGGTGGTGGTGTCGCAAGCCTTTAATCCCAGCACTCAGGAGGCAGAGGCAGGCAGATCCCTGTGAGTTCCAGGGCAGTCTGGTCTACAAAGGGAGTTCCAGGACAGCTAGGGCTGTTACACAGGGAAACCCTGTTTTGGAAAAAAAAAAAAGACCCAACCCTTACCACATGAGCTACAGTCCCGGGAATGTCAAGTTTTGGTGTCTAATTGAAATGACATCGGCTCCTGATGGCTTCATAATAACTAGTCTCAAGTCGTTGGTGATTTGAAACACTTCATTGCATACTCATGCATTTAATTCTTTACAATTCTGAAAAGTGAGTGTAAATTATATGGCTTCTGGATGCCAGATTTTTTAAAAAATATAAATATTAATACCAAAATGATTGTTTTTTACTACCAGGTGAAATTTGTTTCTGAAAGATGAATGTTGGGTTTTCTTGGGCTAATAGTGGAGAATATATACCCAATGTAAAGATAGACATAGAAATACCTGGGATATGATAAAGCTCCAAATATATAGTTCACATAGCAAAACCAAGTGGAAGACAGAGAGACACTGACTCCAATAGTGCTAAAAGCAAGGAGAAATTCTGGGATACAATTCTTCAAATCTCAGGTCAAGTTGATAGAAATTGGTATAAGAAAGGGCTAGAAGGATGGCTGCGTAGTTAAAGGCTAGGCTCACAACCAAAGCACAGATGAGAACTCAGGAGTAGCACATTCCTAAAGCATGCCTCTTTCGTGTTTCAGGCTCTGTGTATTTGAAATAACCTTCTTAGAGACAGAGGGCTTCTTATCACTAATTCAAATGAAGTCCAGAGTCTGGGGAGCTACTGTGTCTGACTTCATATGGCTTGGGTTATTTCCAGCATGCAGCGATGGCCTCATCTCCAACAAAGCCAGAACTGAGTATGTTGCCAACAAGAGGAATGTCATAGTTAGACAGGAGTGGTCTGAAGATTTGTATCCAAGAGGGTCAGGGCCCATAGTAACTCCCACTCTGTTCATTTCTGAAATTCCAGGGTATCTTTATGAAGTGTCTGCAGAGCGTCCTTTGAATCAGTGGTCTTCTAAATTCTATTCCCAGCGTTTCTGTCTGCATCATCTGTTGATTAGTTTTTTGTCTTTCTCTTTGTGATTAGTCATTCATCCCTAAATAATATCAAGCATTGTGAAGGTCAAAGATGCTCAGTGTGCTGTGGAGAGAAAGGCACGAAGGGACATGGGTAAGTGGAGACTTACACACAGTAAGGTTCTGGGGACCTCTTATTCAGACACAGGGGGAGGTCCAGAAGAATATCACAAGTTAGAACAGTCCTACTGAAGGGCAGAAATGATCAGGTTCCAGAAATGCTTCCACCTCAGCACCCATTGTACTCCATCCTGCTGGGAAAATCTGGGAGAGAGTGGGTCCCTCCAACGATGGATCTGTAAGCTGTAACAGCGGGAGACTGGAACTCCTTAGCCATTCTCCTCTTTGCAGAGTTTCTCCTGAAGGGTTATCTAAGAGGCAACCACGTGGAAATCTCAACAAAACCCTTTCACTATATTGTTGAAAGTCATATTCATGTTTAGGATACAATTCCTCCCTTATGCTTTTTAAGGGAGAGGCAGGTTATGTATGAGGATACACAGGTCTGTTGTTGCAGTTGGTCTCATAAGAGATTGGTTCTCATTCTTGTCCATTGTTCTTTATAAATGAACTAAGCATCTGGAATGAGCTATATAGGTCTTTACAGCTTAGTTGATGGTGGGTCCAAGCCCTGTTTTCTGATATTTTGAACCCCAGATCATAATAACTTTTCTTAGAGCGAATCTGATGCATATTCTCATTAGTGTTAGGTTGGTGCAGAAATAATTACATGTGGTGATATTATTTATGATTTGTTAAAACTTGCCTGAAGATTCAGAAAGCAAGGTCAGCCACAAGCCATAGAAGCCAGGCACACATCTTTAATCCTAACAGCCAGAAGCTAGGAGGTGGCAGTACACACTTTTAATCCCAGGACTCAGTATTAAGAGGTAGACAGTCTGAGGTAGTGGTAAGAGCTAGTGGTCTGCTACTTTGCTTTTTTGATCTTCTGCTTGAAGTTTGAACCCCAATATCAGTCTCTGGCTCTTTTATCAATTAGAGTTACAATTGCAAATTTTGTATTGTGAAATTTGCCCTTTCATATTCTAATACACTTGTGATAAATGTGGTTTAAAACATCATTTTAATGCAATCACCCACTCCATGATTTTCTGTTAGAGACTTACTACTGACTGTTTATATTTCTTTTATGCTATGGACATGATGCTAAACAAAAGGCACATTTGAGTAGTTTTCTTATTTAGGTTCAAAATGGGTAGTCAGTCAGTACAGACAATTCAAATCTGCAATGCATTCATCACAGAATCTGCTAGCAACTGGACAATGTGGTCGCTGGCGGTTGAAAAAGTTTTGCAAAGATGATGAGAGCCTTGAAGATGAGGGGTGAGAGCCCAGCCATCAGAAGTTGACAATGACCAATCTAGAGCAATCATTGAAGCGAGTCTTCTTATTACCACATGAAAAGTTGCAAAGAGCTCAATGTGGACTACAACAGTTGTTCAGCTTTGTAGCAAACTAAATGGTGTGAAAGCTTCCTAAGTGGGTGAAATGGAAAAAAAAGAAGTCATTTTGAACAACAGTGTTATTCTATGCAACAGCAATGATCTGTTTTCTTAATTGAATTGTGATGTGTGATTAAAAGTGGATTATATGAGGTAGCCAACGATGACCAGCTCAAAAGAGCTCTTGAACAATTCCCAAAATCTAACTCCTACCAGAAAGTTCACGGTTCCTATTCTCATCAATGAAGATATGGGTGGTCTTAGCTATAATGATTTATAGGTCACCTGTCTGAAATTGCAGTTCATTTTTACAAACCTATTGGGCAAAGTGGCTTTAATTTCCAGTGTATCCAAGTGGATCACCTGCTTCTGCCTACAACCCTCACTTTAGTTCTGTAGTGAGTGAAATAGGCACACATTTTGATGGTCAATATTGAATGCCTTGCCTTGATTACCACTCTGTTGCCTGGAACAAGTCATAAGTTCCCGAGGGGAAGTTACACTTTGCAGCTCAGTGTGAGACTTGGTACCTTCTGTGGAAAGTGTGTTTCACTGAAGATCAGGACTTCTAACATAGACCTTTGGGTCCATCAGTGACTTCCCAATGAATGTGACATACATCATTTCTAACCATTGATTTCCTAGTTCACATATTCCTGTTGGGAACAGTAGCATATAGTGGGCTTCTGTTTTAATTAGGGTTTCTGTTGCTGTGAAGAGACACCACCACCACTGCAACTCTTATAAACGAAAACATTTAATTGTGTCGGTTTGCTTACAATTCAGAGATCCAGTCCATTATCATCATGGTGGGGAGCATGGTGGCATGCAGGCAGACATGGTGCTGGCTACATCTTGATCAGAAGGTAACAGGAAGTGAACTGAGACACTGGGCAGTATCTTGAGCATAGAATATTTCAAAACTCACCCTTACAGTGACACAATCCTCCAAGGCCATACCTACTCTAACAAAGCCTCACTTCCTAATAGTGCCACTCCCTATGAGCTTATGGGGGCCAGTGACATTTAAATTACCACATTTCAGTATGTATACTTTGTATAGTTTACTAAAGATTATAATGTTCAATCACCAGATGTAGTTCTATAAGAGGTAATATTGTAATATTGTAATGCTGTAATATTCTTCAGGACTCCAGGTGGTTCAGATTTCTGAAACACTTGGTAATGACAGAGGAGGGGAGATTGGCACAACCTAGAGGGAGAACTGTAGCTCTACCCTCTTTCTATTTAAGTGTGAACTGCTTTGGAGTTTCCTTCAAATTGATGGTTCTACAAATACCTTGAGTGTTATACATATGGGATAGCAGTGATAAACATAGTTGTTCCAGCAGCTGTAACTAGAGTGACTTTTGGTTAGGCTAGAATAAGTCTAGTGTTAGTCTTTAAGTCATTTAGTTTACCCTTTTTGATTAGTGCATCTGATTTCTATAGGAAATAAAATGGATAAATGGGACTATAAAATAATGACATATAGGATAATTTCATGTTTTCTTTCTCCAGTAGGCTCTAATTTCTGCTATCCCATGTGGGAAGAAGTGCATTTTGTTTATTCTCATGGTAATGTTGTAAGCTGTGGGGGTTTTTCACTTCATTTTTCTTAATATGTTTGATCTGAACACATTGACATGGATAAATAAGACTGGTATTACTTTTAGTTGGACATTATGTTTTATTCTCTCATTCTCATATGAAAAAAACCATATGTTGTCAGGTGTTCATACAAAACTATAGTATATCTTGGCTTGGCTCCCTCTGTATTAGAATACACACACACACACACACACACACACACACACACACACACTTCGTAAATTTGATACTGAGGCATTAGTATTATTTATACTGATAATATCATAGCTACAGCAAATTCTTTGTTCACTGCAGAGGTCAGAGGTTACTTGCTGATGCTTCTTGCTCTTTGTGATTTTAACTTTTGTATTTCTGAAGCCATATTTAATTATATCATTGAGATGTCTATGTGTCCAGGAGAATGAAGAGGTTTTGTTTCTGTAGAAAAGCAGAACATGCCTCCATTGCTTTCCCAATTTTAAATGAGCAGTAGCTTTGAAAAACACAACAACAAGAAACAAACAGCCCCACACCCCCAAAATGCAAAACACAGCAAAGAAAACTTTACTAGATGCTTTTATGCTGTTATTCAGTTGATCACACACACACAATTTTCCAGTTTGTCACTTCATTACATTGGTTGAGGTTTTGTGGCAGGAGCTTTCTATCTAGCCCAGGCTAGTCTCAATGTCATGATCATCTTGGGTCACCCTCTTCAGTGACCAGCTTGTAGTTTTGAACTGCTAAACCAGACATCACTGCTTGATTTTCATATTAAATTCACTTTGATTTATAATAAATCTCATTTTGTCATAACTGATTATCCTTTTTATATATCATGAAATTCAAATTTCTAGACTCATTGATTGTCATTTCTCAGGACTTCCTTACTATTTTGTTACAGGGTGATATTATACTCTTGACAGAATGAGAAATATTTCTCACTCCTCAGATTTCTAAAAGGGTTTGTATGAGAATTGTCCTTAAATATTTTGTAGTTTCATCTCTGTATGTCCATATCTTCTGTTGTGAATTATATATTTTTAGATCCTTCATCATTTTTTAAATTGAATTTTCACTTTTATAGTTCTTTCTATGTTTGAGACAAAATTCTATTGTTGTGTGTGTTGCTTATTATTATGTTAATGATTTTTTTCCCACTCTTCGTGTGTTTCTAAAAGGCAAAAGTTTTTGGTTTGGGTGATTTTCAGGTTAGCTCATGATTTTCATGCTAAAAACTCTCCATATAACTCAAGGGCAACATCATTTTAACCCACATTTTCATATAAACTATTTGTAATTGTAGTTATATATGAATGCCTGTAATAAATTTGCAGTTAATTTTTGCATAATCCATTAATATAGGTTGATAATCATTTTTTAGTATGGATGACCAATTCTTTCAGTATTGTCTATTGGAGAGTTTTCATGTCCTCTTCATTTTGCCTTTAAGCTTCTTACAAAGTTAATTGACCACATTTGACAATATATTGTCTGAATTCTATGTTCTATTTCAAAGATGGAGCTGTTTGTCTTATCAAAATCACAGTGTTTTGAATATGTATATTTCTAAAAGTCAGGTGGCATTTATGTAGGGCTGCATTAACTAGCTTTGTAGAGACAGGAATAAAAAGATGCAATCCAAGAAATGCTAACTTTTCTTGCACTGTGGGTCTGCTAATAACACAATCTTTCATACTTTGCATTTCCCTTTGATTTTAAGTTCTTGTTTCTGGGTATGAAATTCTAGATGGGCAATTATTTTCTTCAGTACATTTAAAATATTACTTGACTGCTCTGTGTGGCTATTTCTGATGTGAAACTGCAATTATCCATCCTTTAATTCTTATATAATTAGACTTTTCTTCTGTCTACTTTTTAAAGCTTTCTCTTTCATCATAGGTCAATTTAGGAAATTTCATTTAAATTGACTTTGCTCTACTTGCTTTTGTGTTTTTAGCTTTACATATTACCATCATGGTTGCTTGATCTTTGTGGCCAGTGGGTTTATAATTTTTAACAAATATAGAAAATATACTTC